ACTTACGTTTCTGTGAAAATTCAATGGTATTAGATTCTCAAATGCACAAACTTGGAAATCTGCTGTCTTTTCTACTAAGCTGGAGATACCAAAGCAATCTTTCTCAAAAAAAATGAGGGGGAGATGTGGGGCAACCAGGAGAAGGTAAGCAGATGACTTTTTTTTTTTTAGTTTTTATTTTTGAGAAGCATTATCATCGAAATTTCAAATCACAGTGAGAAAAGAGTCCTGTAATGGAAAAGACAACCGTAGAAGCCTGTTCCTCACTCCACAAAGAGGTTTTGCCAACTCCATAGTACCTCCAAATTTGGTTCCTTTTAAACTGAACAATGGCAACAAGGAAAATAAATAACAAAACCTTGCACAAAGAGATAGGATTCAGATGAATGCCCTTCCTTTGTTATAGGCATATAAATAGCATTGCAAGAGGGTGCAGGATCAATAACAATGCTGCAAAGAAAGTGACCACCGTTGCCTGGGAAACCTGCAGCTCAGAATTGAAGCCTTGAAAAGCTTTCAGGCCCATGGAAATTTTATACCATTCATAGAAGCAATATTTGACAGGGAAATAGAAATAAGCAATTATACAGGAATCTTCTGCACACGCTGCTCTGCCTACCAATCCTGAATTCCAACCCTCTCCCCATTCAACACCAATATTTTCATACCACTTTTTTCTCCTAAATATTGTTGCACCAGCCTTGTCCAGCAAGTCATTTGTAGCCACTATTCTCACAAAAATGTGATGGCAAACATCATCTAACACATAAGCAAGATTAATAAAATATCTTAGAAAACAGAATATTAAAAGGAGAAAATCAAGCTTGCCTACTATTACCATGTTAGTGATTAGTACCATTATGTGATTTTCAGAATTTGCAGACCAGATTCAAGTTAATATTAAGTTTCTTTTCTCAAACTTTAACTTTGGAAAAAAAAAACAGCTTACTTTTCATTGAGACGAACACCAATTTTTTCCAGGCCAATGTGCTTGGTGCAAGCATCACGCCCTACAGCAATTAATACCTAAAAGAGAAAACAAAAAATCATGTTTCCTAGTAATTATTCAAGGCATCTTCACATATTCTCAAAGCCATTACTAGTGAACAAGGTTTTACAAAAAACATTACCATATAATCAGATTCCTAATGTTCTGGAATAAAAGCTATTTAAGTAATAATTCTGATATGTTGACTTATTCCACCCTGGCTGCCACATTAATCTTCTCAATCTAAAAACTTAGATTGGGGAGATGTGGATTTGCAATTAGCTGGATCAGAAACAGCTTTACAAAAAACAAACAAACAAACAGTCTGTACTACACGACAGCTCTCTTCAGTTACATTAATTTTGTCTCTGCTTAGTGCAAAAAAATCCATCTTAGAAGTCATTTAGTGTATAATCAAAAGCTATGACTTTACACAAATGCATTTTAAGCAGCATTGGAATTTGAGATATTTAAAAGTACAGCAAACCCATCTGCTTTATCCCTATCATCCTCTACAAAATACTTTTCTCCAATTTGATTACTATTAAATTTGAAGTGAGCTAATCCCAATCAAGGAATCAAGTTGAACTCACCGTTCTAGGACATGGCAAGTAAATACATGTACTTCTCCTACTGTTATCCTGTGCTTGTGCTTTTGCTTTTGCTTTCTGAATGTAATGTTCATCTTAGCTCACCTTACAGTCTTACTTTATTCAGTGAAGGTTCATATAAAGAATTAGAATTTTAAAAAGTAGCTTTCATGGAAATGTGGGCATTACTGGCTAGAACAGTATTTGATACCCATCCCTAATTGCCCAGAAGACAGTAAAGAGTCAATCACATTACCATGGGTCTGGAGCCAACTGTAGGCCAGACTAGGTAAGATGGCAGATTTCCTCCCCAGGTGGGTTTACACAACAACTTTTATTCCAGATTTTTGAATTTAAATTTAATTCGGTGATCTGCCACGGTAGGAACATACCTGGGATTCTGGATTCCCAGTCAGGTGACATTACCACTACACCACTGTGTCTTTAGTATTGTCCAAAAGAAAAATGTGTTGTTAAGAAAAATAAAGACCCTTTGTAAGACTCTTACACAAATTAATTCCTTAAAACATGAAAATTTGGATTAGTTTCAAATTTACTACATACGTTGTTTTAGATCATTAAGGCATAGGAGCCAGTAAGCTATTCAACTCATCACTGATGTTCCATCATTCAAATGAGATCGTGGCTAATAATCCTCAAATCCAGTTTCCTGCCTGTTCCTTTTAACCCTTGATTCTCTTACTGATTAAAAAGCTGTCTGTCTATCTCAGAATCATACAGCAGAGGCCCTTTGACCCATCAAGACTGCACCAACAATAACGCCACAAAATCTACATTAGTCCTACTTTCCAACACAACTCATAGCCTTGAATGTTATGACATTAAGAGCTCACGCAAGTGTTTTTTAAAAGGTTGTGGGCTTTCCTGCCTTAACTACCTTCCCATGGAGTACTTTCCAAATTCTCATGATCCTCTGGTGAAAATAATTTTCCTCAAATCCCAAAGTCACCTGCCTTTCACAGTAATATTATGTACCCTCATTACTAACACTTCAACTAATTGAACCTGCTCTCCATATGCCCTCTGGTCCTAAACCTTCCACACAGGGAAAGCAGCCTTTTCATGTATACCTTGTAATCTACCCAATAATCTTAAATGTTAACATTAGACCTTTTTTTTTCCAAAGGGAATGGAATATAAAAGTAGAGGCCTTGCTAAAACTCTAGGCTCCAGTCAGACCACAGCTGAAATACTGTGAACTTAGAGCATGGGTCGGTACTTGGAACTACAATGTTGCAGCCATTACAGAACCTTGGGTAACTCAGGGAGAGGAATGATTGCTGGAAGTTCTGGGATTTACATGCTTTAAAAGAAATAGGGAGGGTGTAAAAAGAGGTGGGGGAATGGCATTGCTAGTCAGGGCGAGTATAGCAGCTATTGAAAGGCAGTTCGAGAATGATGTGTCAGTTTGGGTTGAGGTCAGGAACAAGGAGCAGTCACTTTGTTGGGGTTTTTTTTAAAACCAGACTAATAGTTGCAGAGAAGAAGGGGAGCGGATTGGGAGGCAGATACTGGAAAGGTGCAGACGTCACAAGGTTGTATTCATGGGTGACTTCAACTTTCCAAATATTGATTGGAAACATTTTAGTTGTAATAGTTTAGATGGAGCAGCTTTTGTCCAGTGCGCTCAGGAAGGATTCCTGACACAGTATGTAGATAGACCAACACGAGGAGGGGCCACTTTGGATTTGGTGCTTGACAACGAACCAGGCTAAGTGTTAGACCTGTTGGTAGGACAGCATTTTGGCAGTAGCGATCATAACTGTTTCTTTCACGATAGTCATGGATAAGGATAGTTACATACGGCAGGGTAAAGTTTACAACTGGGGGAAGGGTAATTACAATTCAGTTAGGCAAGAACTGGGTAACGTAAATTGGGAACAGATGCCGTCAGGGAAGAGCACCACAGAAATGTGGAGATTGTTTAAGGAATGCATACTCCATGTTCTCAACATGTTTGTCCCTAGCAGGCAGAGAAGATGCAGTCGAGTGAGGGAGCCATGGTTCGAGAGGTCGAATGACTGGTTAAGAGGAAGAAGGAGGCTTATGTAAGGTTTAGGAAAAGAGGAACAGAAAAGGCTCTAGAGGGATACAAGTTAGTCAGGAAGGAGCTGAAGAAAGGGCTTAGGAGAGCTTTAAGGGGGCATGAGAAAACCTTGGCAGATAGGATCAAGGAAAACTCCAAGGCTTTTTACATGTATGTGCAGAACAAGAGAATGACCAGAGAAAGGGTAGGGCCGATCAAGGATTGTAAAGGGAATTTGTGCACGGAGCCTAAAGAGATAGGAGAGGTCCTTAATGAATACTTTTCTTCAGTATTCACAACCGAGAGGGACCTAGTTGTAGAGGAGGATGTTGTGAAACAGGCAAGTAGGTTAGAGGGGGTTGATGTTAGTAAAGATGTGCTAGGAATTCTGAAAGTTGAAGATAGATAAGTCCCCTGGGCCTGATGGGATTTATCCAAGGATTCTATGGGAAGCGAGGGACAAGATCGCAGGGCCTTTGGCGATGATTTTTTCGTCCTCACTGTCCACGGGTATAGTCTCGGAGGATTGGAGAGTGGCAAACGTCATTCCCTTGTTCAAAAAAGGGAGCAGGGATAACCCTGGAAATTACAGGCCAGTTAGTCTTACGTCAGTGGTGGGCAAATTATTGGAAAGGGCTCTGAGAGACAGGATTTATGATCACTTGGAAAGGCACAGTTTGATTCGTGATAGTCAGCATGGTTTTGAGAGAGGTAGATCATGCCTCACAAACCTTATTGAATTCTTTGAAGAGGTGACCAAACACATGGATGAAGGTGGAGCAGTGGATGTGGTATACATAGATTTAAGTAAGGCGTTTGATAAGGTTCCCCATGGTAGGCTCATGCAGAAGGTAAGGAGGCATGGGATAGGGGGAAATGTGGCAGATTGGATTCAGAATTAGCTGACCCTTAGAAGTACAAAGGGTGGTAGTGGACGGAAAATATTCAACATGGTGCTCAGTTACGAGTGGTGTACCACAAGGATCTGTTCTGGGTCCTCTTCTATTTGTGATTTTAGTAAATGGTTTGGATGTAGGAGTGGAAGGGTGGATTAGCAAGTTCACGGACGATACGAAGGTGGGTCACATTGTGGACAGTGCGGAGGGCAGTTCTAGGTTACAAAGGGACATTGATAGGATGCAGAGCTGGGCTGAGAAGTGGCAGATGGAGTTTAACCCTGAAAAGTGTGAGGGGATTCATTTTAGAGGACAAATTTGAAAGCAGAATACAGGGTTAACAGAAAGATTCTTGGCAGTGTGGAGGAGCAGAGGGATCTTGGGGTTCATGTTCACAGTTCCCTGAGAGCTGCCACCCAGGTGGATAGAGTTGTTAAGAAGGCGTATGGTGTATTAGCTTTCATTAATAGAGGGATTGAGTTCAAGAGCCGTGAAGTTATGCTCCAGCTTTACAAAAGCCTGGTTCGGCCACATCTGGAGTATTGTGTCCAGTTCTGGTCACCTCATTACAGGAAAGATGTGGAAGCGTTAGAAAAGGTGCAGAGGAGATTTACCAGGATGTTGCCTGGAATGGAGGGAAGGTCATACGAGGAAAGGTTGAGAGAGCTACAGCTTTTCTCTTTAGAATGACGAAGGATCAGAGGTGGACAGAGAGGATCAGAGGTGGACAGAGAGGAAACAGTCAGTCAGTCAGTCAGAGACTTTTTCCTCGGGTGTAAGTAGCTTTTACGAGGGGACATAGGTTTTAAAGCGTGTGGAGGTAGATAGATATCGGGGAGACATCAGAGGTAGGTTCTTTACTCAGAGTGGTAGGGCCGTGGAATCGGCCTCATTAGGGGCATTTAAGCGGCTATTAGATAGGCACATGGATGATAGTATAAGGTAGTGGTGGAGGTTAGATAGACCTTAGGTTTAGGGTAAAAGTTCGGCACAACATTGTGGGCCAAAGAGGGTCTGTACTGTGCTGTACTGTTCTATGCACATATATTTATATCTTTCCTTAAATAAAAGAGGACTAAAACTGTTCACAGTATTTCAGCTGTGGCCCGACTAGAGCCTAGAGTTTTAGCAAGGTCCCTATTTTAATATTCCATTCCCTTTGGGGAAAAAAAGACTAATGTTCTATTTCTCTTCCCTATTACCTGCTGAACTTGCATGCTAGTTTTTTTTTTAAATTTATGCACAAGGACTCTTAATTCCATTGTACTCTGGTTTCCTGTAGTCTTTCTCTATTTAAATAATTTGCTCCTTTAGTCTTCTGAAGAAAATGCATAACCTCATTTTCCCACTTTAAATGCCATCTACCAAATTTTTATCTATTTGCTTACCTATCTATATTTCTCTGCACTTTTTGACCTTGCACCATTTCATACATTGGATTCTGCAGCATCTTGTGTATCAAAACAGATGGGCAATAAAGTGCATTCTACTCACAGTGTTGTATTCACCATCAATGACCTCTGTACTTATTGTGGACTTTGCAGTCACTTTAAGTCTTCCAGGTGTGCCAGCCTCCAGCTGTTCAACCTACAAAAATAATTGGGTAACAAACCTGGAGGTTAAATAAAGTTTTACATAAAAAATTAGAGTAAATAATGAATTAGCACTTTAATGTAAATTGATATCTTCTCAAAATTTTAATACATTGCAAACTAGGAGCAGAAACAAACTCCACAGCCTTGGTCCATTTATTCCTGGCTTTTAACTTTCAGCTGTAAATATAGGAACTGACAATGGGGAACAGGGTATTTATTTGGTAGTGAGGGTAGAAAGATTATTAATAATCTAATAGGTCTACATGCTCAAGTGAGAAGACTAACGTGTAGAAACATGATTGGATCAGACAATTTAAAAGGAAGCCAATAGTAATCTATGTCCCACCTTCCTGCAGCATTCCCCACCAGCATTAAAATGGTGACCACCCCAATCTCATAATTCTAAGAGTCACAGAGTTATAGAGTCATACAGCATGGAAACAGTCCATATCATATTTGTTCATCATTTGAACAAATCTAGTGTTTTAGATAGTCCTGAAAATATTGGCATTATCAGGGAAGACAATGTTCCAGAAGCATTAGGTTGAACTAACAAAGCTCCTAATAGGATAGCCTAAAGCACATGTCTGTAATGTACAATTCTAAAAGAATTCTTCCACTCTATCCCCCACGAACTAGTTTTCTGGAATAGAAGGACACATCGCTCCATGTTTGATAGTAGCAGGTTTATACCCATAAAGAAATGGAAGGAAGTATAAATTATGCAGATAGAAATATACTCTATTACCTTGATTGGCACATATTTTTTCAGAAATTTCACCCCATGAGATTCCATGTATGCTCCAACTTTCCCTGCCATTTCCTGATCAAATCCACGTAGAAGAATGGAGCGCACCATCACAGTAACATCCAATCCCAAACTACACAGGAAACCTGCACATTCCAGTGCCACATAGGAAGCACCCACAACCAGAGTCTTCTTTGGACAATAAGGCAGGGAGAAGAGATCATCACTGCAGAAACAAAGTAAAGAAAATAAAATAAATCAACAAACAGATTACTTTACAAAGCAAGACATTCTTTACCTCTCCTCAGTGTCCGTCATAATTCTAATTCTAATCCTAATCCAATTTATTTGTATCATTAGCAAGTCTCCAATGTAAGCTCCATATCCACAAAGTTGTCGAAGCCAGTGATGGAATGCCAGAGTGAAAGGACAAGTTTGAAAGGTCATCCCCCATACCCTCACAACTATAGTCAATAAAGGTAAAGAGGATGTTATTAAAGAAACAGCACTCAAATGCTCACGAAGGAAATTTACCTGGTAATGCAATAATCCTTATCTCCTGGTATATTTAAATAACGAGGTCTTTCACCAGTTGCAATAATAAACTTTTCTCCCGAATGAAAGGTCACTTTACCACGCTTGTTGGTTGCCTATGGATGGAAAAAATTCATAGTAAAATCCAACTACTAATGGGTATTTTTATTTCCATTAACTGTTAGTAAAATTGGTGTAAGTACTGCATAAAAAAGGAAAACCTGCTGTACTCTCAGTTTATGCTAACAGAGAAAGAAACGGCCTGGGATATTTTATTTACCAACACTCTATTCCTTTCCAATGAATTTCACAGCCTCACGGCTGGTGTATCAAACTACTTACACTGCAAGAACCTGGTCATGTCCAAGGTGGCTACCTATACGTTCAAGTTTTACATGTAGCACAGCTGGTTTCTCCAGCAATGTGTCAATTGTCATGAAACAATCTAGTGCATTATCCTAAAATTACAAACCAAAAGAACTGCAGATGCTGTAAATGAGGAACAAAAACAAAATTGCTGG